AATTTTCCTCTTTGGTTACGTGCTGTGATTAAGGCGGGGAGGTGTGAGGAGGGTGGGCAGTGAATCTCCAGAGGTGTCAGGGAAATCAGGGAAATCTTTGTTGAGGACCGCTTGTCACGCTTGGGCATCCTGCCTCTCTGGCGCTGGTGCTGCAGCGGGGCCACAGGCGAGTGACTGGGTAGGTCTGATGCCGTAGGGTCAGGGAAGCACCTGCAGCCCGTCTGCTGCGGACGAGAAGGGAATTCCTTCTGCGGGAGATAGGCGATGTGTGAATTTTCCATCATTGCTTCTCCAGTGCCTTGTAAAACATGTAACTTCAAGGCGTCCCATCCCCAAGGCTGTGACAAGTCTGGGGCGGTCAGATACCTCAGGAAGCACTTTATCTCCCCGGGACACTCTCCACAGCTGTTCAAAGCACGGAGTGTGCTTCTGCTGACGTTTTGCTGATCGTCTTGGAAGCTGGTGACACAGCAGCCTAAGAGACGGACAAATGTCTTTCAGTGATAGCCAGGAGAGTTGCCTGGAATGAAACCAAGCAGTGGGTAGGACTCTGAAACCCCAAGGGCCCTGAGAAAATAAGTCATACGTATTTGTCTCACTTCTTCTATGATTCTATGATTCTTCCTGAGGAGCAGAAGCTCTTGGTGAAAGCAGTAGCACACAGAGATCTTGAGGAGGAGGCTGAGATGGTTAACCTGCCCGCTGCCTTAGCATGACTGTTGTGCCTGTCCATATTTGTTCTGCAGAACTCATGCAGTCACAGAGGAACGAGAAGGTGCAATGTTCAAACCATGATGCAACACATGTGCTGGTTCTCTCCCCTGATGGGAAGCTTTCTGAAGAGTGGGCTACAGCTTCAGCTAGCTGCTCTAAGACAAGGTAAAAAGCTTTCACAGAATGGAGGTATAGATGGTAAGGTCGGAGAAGGTGGCCCACTTTTCCTAAAGGTAATATCCAAGAGACTGTGTCATGTTCCTGTTGTAGAGAAGGAACTGGAACACATGTGTTTCTAGTACCCAAAAGTTTTATTTTCTGTTGTTACCAAGCAAGAAGTGCACTGATTTTAAGGATAATACCACCATCTGAACTGCTTGAGCTGCACGTGAGACAGCTTTCTCTCAAGCTTAGTAAGGATCAGTAGCATATACCAGAGTAATGCAGATGACTTGCAAACCATACGTGGTTTGGGAAAGCTGTGGGTGAAAGACCCAAGCACATCTGAACCTTGCCACCTTCTGATTAAGCTGTGAAGGTAACATCATCTAAAAATGGTAGAGCAAGCTATTGTGAGATTTTCTGATAACTTGCCCATGGCTGAGCCTGATTCTTTTCCAGCTTCCCATGGTGCAAAACACAATCAAATCCGTGCAGCTGCAGTAAGGCTAGCGTAAGAGCAGGGTGAAACAACTTACAGGTGACTTGTATTTTTCCATATAATTTCCACGGAACACGCTAGGACTTGATGAGCAGAGGATCTTCTGCCTTTACTTTGTCTCATGGCACAGCATTTATCTATTTTGATTATTTTTTTCCCTTATTTTTGTAGGCTGGTGAAAGAACTAGGAAACCAAGATATTGTTCAAATAGCATGTGGGGACCAGCACGCCATGGCACTGTCCAGAGGTAGCCTCTTTCAAGAACGCTTCTCCAAATGGGAACCATGTTATAGAAGGCTTGCTCTCAGAAGGGAGTGTTTGAACTCCTTCTGGCAGTTGGTGATGCCATTAGAAAGTAATGAGCGGTGGGTGGGGGATATAAAGTGCGCTGCCCTTTCCTCCCAGGGACCTGCAGCTCTGTATCTCTCCAGTTCCTGAGCTCTACTGCTCTGCAAAGGTATGTTGTAGAGAGCAGATGTGGCCACCTCACTCTGTAGTCACCAGACCTGATCATTCTTAAGTTGGAGCACCTCTCTGGTTGGGAACTTCATGCAAGTATGGCTTTAGAGGTGGAAACACCTTGCCTTTGTTCTTGCTGTGCGGAGTCACACAGGCAGCATGACAGTGCCTGGAAGGGGTGAGAAGCAAACAGGGAGATCTGGTTGCTGCTGGTGGTCTCACCTTGCAGCTAGATCCCTGAAAACAGCACTGATGTTCGCTCCTGCTCCCAAAGTGCGAAGACTCAAGGGAAGCAGTGAGGCTGAGCGGTTTTCTTTTGTTCTGTGTGTGAAGGAGGTGAGCTCTTCTCCTGGGGCCAGAATACTCATGGACAGCTTGGAGTGGGGAGCCAAACCACGCTCATCCACCAACCACAGCTGGTGGAAAGACTAAAGGGCATCTCACTTGCTCAAATTGCTGCTGGAGGAGCTCACAGTGCTTCTGTGTCACTCTCTGGAGCTGTGTACTCCTGGGGAAAGAATGATTTTGGACAGCTGGGACTTGGAGACACAGAAGGTAAGGAAGGAAGACAGCAATAGGAAGGTGTTTTCCTGATCTGTGAGCTTACTGCAGACAGAGGAGTGGCTCCTTATGACTATCAAGCCCCTTTGGAGCTGCAGTGGACAGTAAAGGCTTTTGAAGAAAATGTATCTGGATAAGTTGTTTCCTGACCAGGAAAGGAATGCAGGGACAAGGGATTTAGGGGTTGTGTTTCTACAGAGAACTGCCAATCATTTTATGTGGCCAACTGGATAGCGTGAGCTCTTCAAACCATGTGTCTCAGAAGCCTCTTTCCACTCCCATTCTCTCTCCAGGCATCTTCCATGAAGGAAATTAATTTTATACCTCTTTGCCTTCTTTAATTCTCTGTAAACACAAGGTGAGAGAAGAATTAAAATCACCTGTTGTCTTCAAACCTAGAAGGCTAGAGCAGAGTTGCCGTAGCCAGGCAGAACTTGAAGTCAGTGGGATCTGAATGAGTCCACATGCTTGAGAGTCAGATATTTTGAACCTTTTGGCAAGCACATGTTAAAGTGCTGCGTTTTGTTTCAGATCAAACATAAATTAAAAGAAAACACTATGAAAAAGACAGAACATGTGAGAAAGAACATATTATAATGGAAGGTAGAAAACAACTCAGAACCAAGTTGTAAATATATGAGTCTCTGTATAAGACGACTGAAAAGCACTAAAAGCCCTTATTTTCTAAATCTTTCTTTGTGTGAGAACCCTCAGTATTCCTTCACTTTAGCAGTGCTATGTTCTTTCCAGACAGGGCCTGCCCATCATACGTTAGAGCGTTGGAGCACTGGAAAACTGTATTTATCTCATGTGGGGCAGATCATACTGCAGTTCTCTCCAAGGTGAGTCTGAAATGGAAAGTCAGCATCTGAGACCTCACCCTGCGAGAAAAGATACGCTGCTAAAAATCAGCATGGAGAAATTGAGATGGCAATGCCCGCTTCCCTCCGAGTCTGAAGACGATCCCCGAGGGATGCTAACTAAGCCATTGGGAACACTGGCCTTTTCTCAGATTCCTGTCACCCGCATGCAAACTTTTGCAGGGAGATGGTGAATGGGAATCCTGGGGCAAAGAGGTGCAGGCCAACTTTCAGTACTTTTTGAAGGTGCTTTCTTTTTCATAGCATATTGGGGACTTCAGAAAATGTAAACGGTAGCTAATTCACGAGAGTTTACTCGTACAAGTAAAATTCTTAAGAAACAGGGAGTTATTCTCAGGAATTAAATTGCTCTTCTCAGGGGTTAAATGATTTGGACATTAGGCAGTGTAAGATTAGAGTTGATGCAAAATGAACTCTGCCTGTGTTTGAGTCAGGGATGTTTTGAATCTGGTCCATATAACATATTGTGTCTTGCTGGCTCTCACTCTCAGTAGTGACCTTTTAAATGCCGTTAATAATGCAGTGATCCCGTTTGCTTCTTTGTCTTCAAGGAGGGGTTGGTGTGCACCTTTGGAGCCGGAGGGGCTGGCCAGCTTGGTCACAACTCCACCCGGAATGAACTCATGCCTCGTGTGGTGGCCGAGCTGTGGGGAGCAAGAGTTTCGCAGGTTGCCTGTGGCAGGTGGGAAAGTACCAATAATGTGCCTTCTAAGGTCAAGGTCTTAAGCGAATCACTGAAGAACAGTAGGGAGGGGAGTCACCAAGATGTTCAAATCCCTGTATCCCAGTAGGTCAGCACTGTCAGAATATCATCCACTCTTCATGTGTAAGCCACCCTCCTGCCACAGCCCCAGTGAAAGCAGAACCCTCGGCCTGTGCTGAACAGAGGGAGAGGGCTGCAAGAAACACCAGAAGCCTTTGTTTTTTCTGCTTTTTTAAGAAACGAAGGGTACACTGGGTTCCAAAAGGCACAAGATTGTCAAAAGCCTGCGTCAGGAAATTCACTAAATTTTCATCGGCTTTGACAAACTCGTGGGTCTTTAGAAAGAACTGAAGAGTGGTGATAATTATCCAATTTTATTCTGCCTTTCTGGAACTGGGCCAGAAAAAGTCTCCTGTCAACTTTCCTGGGCTTTGTATTAGGCTCAGCAGCATAGAAGTTGTGCTTTTAAAAATGGAAGGGCATGAAGCTAGCAAGGCATAACACTTTATTTTTGTATGTGGAACCAGCATAAATCAAAAACATTAGAGGATTGTGTAGGAAATTTGTGTCCATATGTTTCTTTATTGCAGAATGTTTATGCAAGGAAGGATCCTAAGACTTTGGTTAAAGAGATTGTCTAGCTGGACTATCAGGACTTTTAAAGACAAGCCTCAGCTATCCACTCTGAAAATGTATCTGTAAATTCTATTCTGACTAGCCCAATGGTATCAGCTGCTTATGACCATTTTTTCTGTTTCTGAACAGAGAGTACACCCTGGTCTATGTCCCCTCCTTGGGCAAAGTCTATTCGTTTGGTTCTGCTAAAGAAGGACAGCTGGGAGATGAGAGAAAGCCTAATCAGTTGATACCACTTCCCATCAATTCATCCTGTCAGGGTAATGACCATTGCAGATGTGTACAATCTATATTCATTTCTTCCAGGGTGATGTTTGCTTTCTTGATTTCGTGTTTACATGGAGAGCCTATTGTTATGTCTCTTGCTTGCTTGGTCATCCCAACAGATTCTACAACGGATAATTCCACTTGCTGCTTGATTTATCATCACGGGTAATGCCCACATAGAATCAACTTTTAGACAGACAACTACTATCTGAGGGTTTTTTTCAGTTCCACATCTGTGCAGTGAGCTCTTTGAAGATAATGACTGTCTCTTCAAATGCTCCTTTGAAAATCTTTTTATTCTTTCACAGGAAATAAGTCACACAAGGTGGTTGAAATCATTGCAGGAGGAAACCAAAGAATTGTCCTTCGCAAGAAGAACAAGGTATGCGCATATTTGATCATGGCTTCTAATTTTACCATTGTTCACATTACTGATGGAAACATTTGGATATTCCATCCTGCTTTTAGTGCTCCAAGTTCGTATATATCTCTTGCAGTTCTTTTCATGCTTACCCAGAAACTAACTTGTATTGCAATTATATATCTGTTCTGTGGTTAATGCATCTGGATCACGCTGAATGACCACTAATTTGCTCATACACAGGCTGAAATCTTCTTGTAATGATTGGCTTGAAAAAGACAATCCCATCTGCTAGACCTATAATCTTGTCAGTCTTTTCATGCATTTTGCACAGAATTCCTCTTTGAATGGAATTGCCACTTTGAAGGATCAAGAAGTGGATGCATGGATTTCTAATTCCAGTTCGCAACACTGGGAGAGTATACGAAAGTAAGTCAGAAACTTGCTGGGTTTTGTTGTTTGTTGTTTTTTTTTTTTTTCATGATACATGATTTTCTCTAAAAATTATTATTCTTTGGAGACTATTGTAGGAACTGATGTTCAAGAATTTATCCAAGACAGAATCTTGTACCAGCAATTCTTACCTAGTTTTTGCACAGGAAAAATGATAAGCAAAATGTTGATAGGCAACAGCTCTTTGATAACTGTTTTGCAGGAACAGAGCGGATGTACTGCCTGGCTTTGGAAGCCTGTCCTCCTCTTCTTGCACAGAATGGTTAAGTTAATGAAGAGCTGACAAGCTAAATCAGTGAAAGATTCAGTCTGCAGACTGAGGCCTTGGGCAAAAATCCTAATTCAGAGTGCCCAAACTGCAATGTTTTATGTGTGTCAGTATTTAAAAATTAGTGATCCCTTCTTTAGTTACCCATTTTCAAAAGCAGTAAGTATATACTGCTGTGGGAAGCCTTATACTTACGGCTGAGAATTATGATTAGGTAGTCGTTTTTCAGATCTTATGTGGGAGGTTATTTTCTCTGGGAAAGTCTGACTCTAGCTGCTGATTTTGCACATTTAAAAATCTTGGCTAATTCAGATCTGAATGTTTCCCTGACCACTTTTAGTACAGTTTGGATCATATGGAAAGTAGTTGTTGAGAGGGTGAGAGAGCGAGTGTTCTTTCTAGATCTCAATGGAAAGGGCCTGACAGGAAATTGCTCGATAAAATACCTGCTTTAATAAGAACAGAACCAAGAATACAGGTAGTGAGTAAGTCTAATGTCCCTTCTGATGCTGAGAACCCAGCTTTCATGCAGCAGCAAATGGATACTCTGACAGATTTTCCCTCAGCATGCTACAAAGATCCCGTCTGTGAAGTGGTTCCTCCTCCCTCCCATGCCACAGAGCCTTTTATTTTGCATAACAAACAAAACCAGATACTGTCCAAACCTGTCAGGAGAAGATATCTCCATCATAACACCCACCAGCACACAGCACAGGCTGGCATGGGGCACTTGAGCAGGTTCCCTCACGAGGCCCAGGAGAGCAGAGGTGGCTTGCCAAAGATCACTGACTCCTCGAATACAGTGTCTTCTGCAATGCTCTCAATAAAGTCATGCTAAGAACAGTTTCACCTGGTCAGGTGCAGACACACTTGTATACATGGTTTTTGTTATTTCAGAATTAAAAACATGAAGTTGCTACTCATATTGAAAGGATTGACTTTAGTTTATTTTTTACTATCAGGAATATCAGACGGATCTTTTCATCTGAGGCTTGCATCAATGGAAGCTTCCTGGAGAAAAGGTAGCGTGTGCTGACTTAAATGTAATAGAATATATTGGCTGCATGTAAACTGACCAGAAAGTGTTATTTTAGCCCATGTATGTAGAGAAGATTAGTTGTATCTGAATTTGCAAGAAGCAAGTCTGTATTTTTCAAAGCCCAAGCTAAAATTTTTTTATCCCCCAGTCCTATTGAAATTTGCTATAGAAGATCACGTTTTAGCAGATTATCCCATAGTGACATTTGACAGATGATGATAATCCCTGTAGGCTCTGTTACAGCTCCGAAACGATCCATAATAGCTCCTCCCAGCACAGAAGTGTAAGTCGTTTTAGGGCGAAATACAGGAAGCCTACCATTAACAGTGCACAGCTGCACAGGACAGGAAGGACAGAATATTAATCAGGTCACACCACAGTGAGAATATCTTCTTAGAACAGATGAAATGATACCTACTGGAGTCAGGGCTGAACTTTCCAAGCATTTTCTGGTGTTAGTATGCTTCACTCTCAGAAAGTAACAAAAAACGGCTTCTCACATCATTTGGTGTTCTTTTCTTCCTTGCGATAGAGACAAACATTTCAAAACTTCCAAAGAAGTCTCGGGTGTAGACATGTCAGAAGTGCAATGTTTTTATGAGAAGATCAGCAAGGAGCCAAAAGTCTTCCAGGAGGTAAAAATCTAATATAAGGATTCTCACTACGCAGATACTGAGGAGCTCTGGATTTGTGCATGAAACTTGGGAATTTCCATGCCAACCATTCATAGATTATTTTGACAAAACATAATTGCATTTTTAACCCTCATCTCCTTTTTTTCCTCTGAAGGTGCAAAAGGAGATTGAGAAGTTACTGCCATCATTGTCTTCCTCTCCCATCTCACCTGAAAATTTCAGAGTCTACTTGATCTTGCCTTTCCTCCTGCAGGGAGAGAATGACAGCTCTTACCGTTCTCTCGGGCTGCTAGCACAAGCCATCATGAAACTCCAACCAAAGGACCTGCAAACTCTTGGTAGGGTTTTATGATGATAAAACTAAATGGTTTAAGTGCTTGGTCATTTTCAGCTGTGGAGCAAGAGTAGTATTGCTGATGTAATTTGTTCCAGAGTTTAGCCTGGAAGAAGTGCCTTTGGTACGAGTAGAAACACAGGGACTACACAGCAAGATAAAAGAAAAAAAATAAATCTCAGTCTAAGGTTTACTAATTTTTGTAGTGCAAAAATAAGCTTTTTTTGTTTTGTTCATTTGATAAAAAGAGAAAACGTGGCGTCATCCACAAATTGCAGTTATTTGCACGTTACCTGTGACGAATATCTCACTTACTGTTTTCTTTACAGAATGCCTGTGGTCAAATCTAGAAACATCCTTTTTCAAGCAGCTGGTCTTTCTGTATCATAGGGTTTCTCAGACAAACTTGTCTCAATTTATCGAGGAAGTCATGTGTTGGCAAAGAAACCCCTACAGCCTGCACCCACATGAAACAGCGACTCTGCAAACACTGCAGATTCTTTACCAGGTGAGAAAGTGTTTGGATCCTGATCAGATAGGATGTATCAGTACAAGTTAGAGTATTTTGATCCTTTTTACTTGTTGAATTCTCTGGATTTCCTTCTTACAAGGGAACATGGGGCCTCGTCACGCGACATTGCTTCAGGAATCTCTTTGGCTCTACGCCAGCAAGGCTTGGAAGGAATCCTGCTCTTGAGCTGCGCCTGGCTGAGCCTCTATGGAAGGGAAGAGCTGAAGCATGTTACAGCCCCTGGCAAGGGGAGGGATGCTTTCAGTGGTGTGAGGAGTGCATGCGCTGATGCGTGCAGAGCTATGGATGTGTCTGTATGCTGGACAGCTCTGGCTGTCCATGGCTAGCATGCCCATTCCTCTTCCAGCTGGTGACATCCCTCACCCCAGTAACTGCTCACAGCATTTAAAGGACAACGTGCCCGCTTGGCACGTCGTGGCTGCCACGGTAACGCTGTGTGATGCTTTAAGAGCCTGTTACCCGAGAAATTTTCTGGAACAATAGAATTAGAGCATCTTTAGCTGCACGCAAACAAGGGGAAGAAAAGGGGCAGTAACTGTATTCTTCTTCACAACCATTCTTTCTCCTGCTGAGATGTTCAAAGTTTAGGAAAGTCAAGAGCTCGAGCATGCACTTAGTATGAATCAGAGAGTCATTAAATTCTGTTCAGAATTGAAAGTCCTTTTGGCTGAGATTGCAGATTTGGACCTTGAAGTTTAAACTCTTGAATCTGTATTTATCCAGATAAATAAACTCAAAAGTGCAGCAGACCAACTCCTCCGTATGTGGTTACATCATTTGGAGCTGATTCCCTCAAAATCCTGTGTTTGCCAGGCAACAAGTATGAATGTGAACAGGGAACTTCAGATTGTCCTGCAACATGAAAGACACTCAAAGTGAAACATACCTTTCCTGATGGAGTCCTTCACTGCAAATGAAAATTGCTTTCCTGCTAGCTTACACATGGCTTTCTGAGGCTTCTCACCATTGAGTGTTGTGCTACTCGTAGCACTTCTATCCTTCACGTCTGTGCGGGGTCTTTCTGAGGTCTTTCTGCAGAGTGCCCTGTTACTGCTTAGTCCTGTCCGGCCACACAGACACATAGCTCACTACATCTGCTGACACCCCTTTTCATATTGTGTGTATCAATGCAGGTGAACTCCAGAACTGGTTTCAGAGTACAAGAAAACGACTTCTATGTGCCTCAAGTGAAAGGCATTATCGCATTGCATTTGTACTTTAATATACAAGTAAGTCTAAAATCTTAACTAGCAGTGCAAAACTTTATTTTTTTTCTGTTTTATTTAAATGAGTCACTATATAGGGAAGACAACTCTAGACTCTAGCCCAGTCAAAGACAATGCATTTTCCCTAGTCCTCCAGCTGTTCTAAATTATGCAAGCCATTTACCATCCCAGTGCCTCTCCTGAGATCACCCCCTGGTTCTGAGCGTCAGAGCTGTCCTCCAGCATTTTAAGCAGCTGTTTGCTTTGAACTGGTGATCAGTGTGAAATAGCACCACGAGGGATGGTTGCTATACTTCTTGTTACTCTGGATTTATTATGTTTAACTAACAGAAATATTGTGAGGTGTCTTTTAACTTTTATGTAGAAACCTTATTAAGCATTTCAATTTACTTACATCTAAAACCAAAGCTGCGGTAATGAAAAATAATCTGTGAAACAGTTCATTTCTGGATGACGTAAAGGAGTGAAAATTAGCTACCAAATGCAGTCAGTGTCACAGGAACAGCATGAAATGGAAATGTGGATAGTTAGGGGCTTTCTTAGGCAAAAAATGCAGTTTTCTGGCAACTTGGCTGGAGTTCCCAGGGCAACTGCCTAATTCCTTCATTTGCTAATGTACAATTTTGCTTTCATTTGCTAGTGTACCGATTTTGTACCAATTAACCAGAGCAGAGGAGGAGGTTTGAGAAACAGTATAGAATCAAAAGCCAAATAGGACATTACCTGAAGTTGCTGCCTTATCACACTAGAGGTTTAACACTTTGAATTGGATTATTTTGTATACTAGTATCTACGTTTGGCATTACAGATAATAAACTCAACAGTCCTTAACAACAATGTACCATAATCTGGGTATCCAGGACATTTTTACTATGTGTTTTGGTTTAACTGAATTATGGAAGATGCTATTAAAATCACTATCTCTGTTTTATTCTTGGGGCACTGTAACACAAGTCTCTGCCTGCATGAACAGTTCAGATGCCTCTCTGTCAGGGTTTTCCGCTCACAGAAGTGTTTAGAAGCTGCTTTTAGAAAGCATGCCTCTCTTGGTGTAGCGTTCATGTACATAACAAAGACACGTTTCAGGGATACAGGAGTTTGCCAGGGTACAGACTGGCAGTTCAGTCTGCACACGTACCCCTGAACTCTAATTTTGCATGAGAAAATCAACACGACGTTTTCCTCTTCCTTGTCATTTCAGGTGCTCCTATGGAAGCTGACCAAATACCCGTGCATCTTTGACATGCAAGACAAGATCATAGTTCATGATGCAGAATGCAACCTTCTGTCCAGCTCCTTCCTTAATGTAAGTGTGGCCATTTTTTTTTTACAATTTAGAAGAGATATAGACACTGCTAGAACACTGTTACTTCAATCTTCAGATACCCTTAATGCTGACGGTCCAAGAACAGTGGTTTTTTCCAGTCAAAAGACAATGCCTTCTGCAAGACATATGGGCCCATTTAAACGACGCACCAACCCAGCAATTCAGGAAGGTCTTAAAGGTAAGATAACAAATTGTATTATTGCTGAATATATTGCTGCAGCGTTCTTTGGTTTTCAGTGTTACTGAAGTATTGTTAGATGGGTTTCAGTATTCACTGAGCATAAACCAAAACAACTCCTCATCAAATTATTATAAAACATGTTCCATGGAGGCCGTAGAGTAAATCTGAAGGGCAATATTTTACCCTCTTATTCCAGGTAGCCATCAAGTTTTGTTGGCGTAAGTCAAATGCAAGTGGCAGTGCTATTTAGTGTGAGGTTGCTTTGGGGTAATGTGACAGGATTGCTCAGGAAACTGGTGACAAAGTCCATTACTATTACTGCTAGACTGACTTTAAAGACTCTAGTCTAGTTTGCTGTACGTGAAAAACCTGGTGGCTGGGCAGCCAGCATTAGAGGCCAGCAAGCGACACAGCCACCAAAGCCGTTTCTCTCATGGAGATGCTGCCTGAAGGGAAAGAAAGGATAGTGCCAGCAAGAGAGAGAAAAAACTGATTATGCTGCTGCTGTCTTCGTGTGGCTTTAGTCTGTGGTTTCTGCACAAACCCAAAGGTTCTGGCAGCTGTATTTTCTTCAGGTATTGCAATGCTAGCCCTGCCCTACAGAAGCTGTTAGATGGCTGATGTGGGAACAGGGCACCTGCCCAGAGCAGAGCTCAGCTCAGGGGCCACGTGCCGTATTAGTCACAGTCACTAACACAAGCGCCATCAGAGCCTGGCACCGCGCCTGTGCAGCTGGAACTGTCAACCTCAGTGCCCTGTTACCCAGTTCTAGTTCTTTCCAAGTAAGCCTTCTTGCCAACCAGACCTGTCAAAGCTTTTCCTTCCTGTACACTTCAGGAGAAGATTCACAATGGCTCCTTAGAGCTACCTTTCTTCCCCTGTTCCTCACTACATCAGCTGATTGACGGAAGCAATACGGCTTCTGCTCTGTACTGTCCTCTAGATCTAGAGTCTCTCTCCACTGATTGTACAAGGAGCTCCAGCAAACACCTCTGAGCCAGCCTTCGAATACACCTGCTGTAGGCACTGCTTTTCCTGCTGTGCATCGCAGCGTTATTTGCCCAGCAGCAGCCTGATCAATTTGACTCCATTATTAGTATCCCATCAAGAGTCACTGAGGTCTGCAGTATCTACAACTTGCTGCTCCATTTCTGAATTTTTCAGCAGGTAAAGGACACTCATGTGTCTGAGTTGCAGATATAAGCCACGCAGTAACAAAACATAAAAAAGAAACTCTTGTAATAGATTATCGTAGCATTAACCTGTCCCCTTCATAGCTGTGTCAAGACGTTTTGTCAGACAGTACCGAGAACTTTGCACGTGACACCCTCCAGTGGTCTGTCACTCCATTCTCTAGTGTGCCTATAAGTGAAAACAAGGAAGGCTGAAGTACTTAGCAGAAGTATCTTCTGCTCCCTCTCTATGGAGGAGGAGATATCCCACATACTTAAGCAGCATTTATTGCTGCTGACTTGGCTATCAAACCCTGGGCTCAGTTGGAGTTATTTTTCCTCTAACCTGTCAGGCCATGCCTCTTGAATGAAGATGACCCGGCCTGGCTATCAAACTTGGGCACTCAGACACATTTAACAAATAGTACAGGGACATACATCTCCTACGCAGACACTGGAATATGTTGGAGGCTGCTCTAACAAAACCCCCAAATGCACAAGTACATCTCTTCTGCAGTGCTGTCATTTCCCCATTTTTTTTCTTAAAAAAAACCCAAAACAAACAATGAAGCAGCTACTGGACATACAGACATACATACCCGTACATGATGAGTGTCATCCAAGTAAATTTCTTCATTTAACTCGAGTTTTGTTATTAAACATCAGCCTAATTTATTTTATGTTCCTCTGAGAGTGAGACAAATACATTTCAGTAAACACATCAGTTCAAAACAAAACTAAAGCTCATAATTCAAAGAGAGATTCATATTGCTGCACACTGTCATTCCTTATTATTTTGTATCAGTTACTTCAGCCAAGGTACAGTCATCCTTGTAAAAACGATCACCACCTAGAAGGTTTTCATTAATGCCACTACAAACACACAACACTCTTGAAGGGATACACTAGAAGGAATTAGTGCTTCTTGTTATTCCTCCTCTTTACCCGCCTTAGCAGTAGTTAAGTAGGACTCCACGCAGTTCCAGATACCACTAGGAAAATGGCAACAAGTCGCTATTACCAGAAGGGAATTCCCTCAAATCAGCTGCAATACCTGATGGCATCAAATAAACCACTTTGCTTTATGGAAGCCCAGGGGTTAGCACACGCGTCGCACTAGTTGTGCCTAAAAAGCTTAATCCCCATCCAGGTCCACAGGTGGAAGAACACATAAACTGGTATTGTAATAGGAAGGAGGAGACTGTAGAAACACAAGCTGTTTGTGCTGGTGCAGCCCTGTGGGAAGGTTTCGTCCACGCTGGCTGAGTAGAACAGGCCTGCCAGGGAGAGGAGGGGGACCAGTACCGTCAGCGTGGGCAGGGAGGGCAGCATGCCCGCTCCGGCCAGCGGCCCCTTCGCCGCGCTGGCGGGTGGCTCCTCAGGGCTGCTTCGAGCCCTCAGCTGGGGGCTTCTTCCGAGTCGTCCTGGCGGCCTCCGGGATCATGTTCGGGATGCCGTCGATGACGGGGTACGCAATGCCCAGCTCCTCGTTAACGAGCTCGTTGGTGGCTTCTTCGTACCTGGCCAGGCAAGCCGGGGACAAAAACAGAACAAGGAGAGGAGTGAATCACCGGGCTCTGCCCTTCGGCAGCCCCTCTCCCTCGAATCGGGGCAGCA